CTCTCTTTCTGCACTCATTCATGACCAATTTGCAATGCGTGTTACTAACTTCACTTCTTCCACGAAGTTCTTGTGTTTTATTGTCTCGCAGATTCTCATGGATCCTGGTGGAGCCTCCTGCCATGGTCCTGCTTGACTCCCACTGCTAATATTACTGATATTACAATTATTAGTCATATTATTATCATCATCATTATTTTTATTTATTATTTATCATTGTTATTCTGGCTGTTATCATCATCGTCATCATCCTTATTGTTCATATTTCTGCTATTATAGTTGTTTTTGTTGCTATTGTTGTTGCTGTATGTCTGTCTCTCTGTTTCTGTGTTTCTCTCTACCTGTGGCCCTTTGCTGCATGTCATCCCCCCTCAATTATCCCCTTTCCTGTCCATCTTGAGCTGTCCTATCAATTAAAGGCAAAGAACTGGCAGAATAAACAATATCATACATAGGATACAAAGGATACAATTAGATTTACAAAGACATGAAAGGAATGAGCTGAGGATGGGTTTGCGGGAGGGAAGGGAAATAACATAATGTCTAGAATGGACAGTATACAATAATATAGAATTTTTGATGTACACCCCATGTGAATTGTTAAAAAAATATACGTGTGCATCAATTTTGTTGGGTGAACCTAAAGAGGTGGTCTCACTCAAAGATGGGAGTGGCCACTTTTTTGGATGTGGGAATGAGTGCAGCCAATGCATGTACATAAAGTGTGATAATGGTAATCTTGCAGTTTACTATCATATGGAAGGATTGTATTTTAATGTAGCCTATGTGTTGGTTCATCTGTGCCTTGTACTACCATCTTATCTTCCAGGAAAGAGGACCACAAGGAAATATGTTTTTTTGTGTTTTCCTAAATCAAATCAAACAAATGAAAGCAGTGTTAGCAGGTGAATGTATGTTTGCTTGTAATATGTTAAACCTATAATGTTAATTCAGCCACCATGTTGTGGGGTTAATATATACATTTGAAATGATAAAGTATAAAGAAAAGCATTAAGTCTAGAGAGTTTGGGTAAATGTATTTATTGTCATCTTCAGCAATTAGTTTCTGCTACCAACCATACAAATCCTGAAAAACAGCTGTAATATGCTTTCCCCCCTCCTGCTAATCAACATTCCTTTAACTAGACTTTAAGTTGTTCTGATGCCCCTCATGGTACCTGCAGGATATTATTAAAAAAAGGACATCAATTCTTTTTCCTCCGCAGGGAACACAAGTTAAACATCCTGTTGTCATTCAGTGCAGGTGATTCTATTCACCGCCTACTTTAGCCCACAGCTTTGAGAGAGGAAAAAATGAACGGATACATGAGACAATACAGCGTCTTAACATGTTGCCGCAGCTGGAACAAGCCCCATTAGCCTGGAGGCGAAGGTATCCCCTTTCACAATAAAACAAAGTATGGTGTCTGTTGAAAAGAGAGTTTCATCACTGACTAATGCCTCTGTTGTTAGGAGGTTCCTGTTTGCCGTGAGCCTGTCTGGAATGCCTGCAACATTATGTCAGAAACACAGCCTTTTAGTATTTTCATATTTATTTCAAACAATGACAAAAATATAAAAAAAGAACTTCAACTGTTCTGGTACAAAAATAAATTACATACTATTCACTCTGAAAAACCCCATAAAAACTTTACCCACATATTGTACAGTACATTCACACTATAGGCTATCTGAGTATCACTTTATTATATCAATCTAACTTCACATTTGAAACCTTTATGAATCATAGTAACATTATGTTTTACATCTCTTGCATCCAAAGTCTGTAAAGCCTTTGAATTATCTAATGCATTATTGTTTTCTATTATTTTTTACATGAAGATGATTTATGGCAAAACTACCATCTGTGACACAATTAACTATGAACTATCCTGGCATTTCTTTCCAGCACAAACCTCCTGTACAGGCAGAGCTAATAGTTTGAGCGAGGTAGAGCGCAAAATGAATGAAAACGAATCAGCTAACTCGGATGCTATGGGACTAGATTGAAAGGTAAATAACCCAGCCCTGTCCTAGAAAGTATGTTTATATACAAGTAATTTGCAACAGAAAAGCTGCAAGGAACAACGAATGTGCTCTCGCAGTTTGCATGTGTCAAGATAAGACAACTTCCTGTTTCATGGCAATATGTCGAAGTTCACTTTGTATGCCCACCACCTGCGCCAACAACCTCCCTGGCTGGGTACATAGCTGTAGCTTGTCATTCACTCAAACATACGTTGCCTGTAAACATAATCTAGCCACCAATTACGTTTGCTACCACAGCTTAATTGGGAAAACAATTTAGTGATATAAATGGAATTTCTAGGGGTCTACAGAAATAATAACAAAATGAATTGTCAGTTCTGGTATCTCTGACCCTCTATTATTTCCTGCTATTCAGCCAAGTCCTGGTGGAATGAGAGAGTAGAGTCAGGTCATTCTGGAAATTCAGACTGGCACAAAGGGAGCTGCCAAAGGGAGGATATTTTTTTAAATAATAGCCAGGCACCAAGCAACGTCGAACTTAAGCATTTGGTGTAAAGCCCTGTGCTTCATTTGACCATTTAATGTTCAGATACTGTACGGTTGTTTTGTACTTTTTTTGTACTTACAGCATATGGTCACGTTTCAAATTTGTACATATGCAAGTAAATAAAAACAATTTTACTGCCTTTACTTGCTTGTTACAAAAACAGATCTTATATTTTTGGATGTCAGATAAACACCTCTAACTGTATGTTTAATCTATGCGTACATTTATTTAACGGTAGTGTGTAATTTCAGTGTAAACCAACAATAAAGATGTATGGTATGATACAGTTTCGTATCGTCGTCAGTCGTCTGTATTGAATGACATTTCCTGACTGTGGCATATTTTAGAAAAATGTTTCTTTAAAATTAACATCATTTGGTTAGTGTCAAAGGAATAGTTCAACATTTTAAGTCCAGATGTAGTTAACCTAGCTTAGCATAAATCCAGTAAGCAAGGGAAAACAGCTAGCCTGGCTCTGTACAAAGTGGAAAAGTAAAACAGTTGTAAAATTGATTAACATGTTGTATCTTGTTTGTTGTAAGGGAAATTCCAATACACAGGAGTTACGCACTGGAACAACTTCTTGATGAACAATAGCCGAGTACAGTGACTGCATACAGTTTCGTTCAGCAGCACTGATCGTATCTGCTGACCTGCACTATAGTGAGTGAGATACTACAGAAGTGCCAAGTGGATAGATAAAGTGTTGTTTATCAAGAAATAGTCCCAGCCTGTAACTCCCCTGAAAACCAGATTGTAGTTTCTACATTTCTTTTATAGATTAAACATAGGTATTGTATTGTATCGTATTGGACTGATATCCATCTGAACATCTAAATGTATGAAAGAAAGCAAATAAGCTTATTTCCTAATATCTTGAATTATTCCACTAACTAACTGTACTCGGAGCAACAGAGAAATCTTAAAACAGTTTTTTGTGACACAAAAATGTGAATCTAGAGACAAATCTACGCTACTCACTTTAACTTCTATTTAGTCTGCCTCTTAAATATTTGGTTATTATTTGCACACATAATTCATCCATAAACTTCATGATGAAGGCATTAGCGGCTGTTAGGAGTTTTCATTGTAACAGCAGGATTACAGGGGTTTTAGTTGTCGGACTGCCTCCCGGCTCTCTCCTCAGGGAGTTCAGCCTTCCTCTGATTCTTCCTCGGTTTACCACTGTGGACAGGTGTGTCCTTGTGTCCTGAGTCATTCTGCTGTCTGGAGTAGCGCTTGCACTTGCAGGAGGTCACCACAGTTATCTTGTAGGTCCTGGAGCTGCCGTCTTGGCACTGCAGCCGGATCCGCTGGGTCCTGGTCCGGTCAATAACGCAGCGCCACTCCTGGGCATCGCGGCGGCTCCAGTACCTACCAGTGTAACCCCCACCGCCAATCCAGTTGGGCAGCAGGTGGGCGGGCAGACACTCCCCAGCACACACCAGTTCCTTAATGGGGTTGACGCTCGTGCACTGACCATCAGAGATGTACTTTGTGGACCTCAGCTCCCTGCAGCCCACCTGGCTCTGGTCTGGACCTGAGAAATGGAAATTGAATTACACACACATGCTCAACTTCATTCTGATGTGACATCTGTTTATATGCTACTACAACGCAACTTGTTTACTTTCCATTACTTTTGGATTACCTCAATACCAAATATGAAAATAAAGACAAGAGAAAATAAATGTCAATGAGATGACCTTTACGTATTCTATAAGACAAATAACCTTAGAAAAGAAAATGGAAACCAAGATTTTTAGCCTCAACAATGTGTCCTCTGCTCTATTTTTTAAAGAAAAACTGTAAAATCTGTAAAAAATTTTTAAATTATTCTATATGTTTGCTTTATTTAGATTAGATGTAAATTTGCTCATTATCCATTAAGTTTTGTTAGTTAGTTGCATAATAATTGGATAGCACAATAGGCAGGTTGTATGTAGGTAGGCCAGTATAGGACCAGCATTCACCTGGGAGGGTCTACAGTATAGAAGCAGGAGCTGTGATTTCTTTGCTCTTTGTTTGCTTGCTTGCCAAGGATAATTAAACCACTGCATGGACAATGGGCTTTTTTGCCTCCCTCTGCTGCATCAGAGAGCTGTTTCAATATTGTGTCACAATATTAATCGGCAACATGCTTGTAATCAGGGAGGAAACTTTGAAGCTAGGAACTCTTACATTCAGTAAATGGAAATATCCCATTACTCAAGTCGGATTTTTGGGGAGAAAGGACACAATTCCAATTTTGTGGGGAGTAGCAGAAAGGTAATAGAACTAGTAGAGCAACTAATTACTGTTGTCAGGGAGTAATGAGTGAAGTTATAATATTACATTTGAATTGAGTAAGGAGTTTTTGAGGAATCATGACACAACCTTTATTAATTCATCATTAGTCATGCATTAGTTAAGAATATGATTTGTACCCTTATTATTATGAACGATACATCAAGCTTTACTGAACAAGAATCAGAAAAAAGCACCTCAAACTGACGTAAACGTGCCGTGAATACGTCATGCGGACGGTTAGGACTCACCGTTACGCACAGAGTCAGCCGGCCGTCTCCCGCCGTTCCTCGCCTGGTTCGTGTCTTCGGCAGCCGGCTCGTGCTGGGTGTCGTCGGCCTCCTGAGGGTGAACTGACTCGGTGGCGTCGTTGTGAACGGCTGACCGGCTCGTGCTCAGCAGCAGCAGGAGCGCGAGGAGCTGGAGTCCGCTGGCAGGACGAAGCATGACTGCACGCGACTTGATCAGTGATACATACACACACACACACACACACGCGCACACACACACACACCTGAGGAATG